AATCTACACAAAGTAACTAGTTCTGATTGATCGGGAGCAACCCCGAATCCAGTTAAGCATAGCTAAACTGGTATGTTTGACACATTTGACACCATTTCACCCAGCCCTAGGTCACTGGCGCAGGTTGTCTCAGCTCTGCATCTGGATTGTGGATGTCCTGACACATGACTTTGCTTGTGGGCATCCAGGTGTGGCTCAACTGGGACCGAGGGATCTGCAGGCAATGGGTTTGGTGGCGTATTCCCAGGCTGCTACATGCAGCGAGTGATATGGCTTCAATATGTAAGGTTCTTACAGCTCGTGTAGCACAACTTGACCATGATGTGGGGGCGCGCATGTCTTTGCCCTGAGCGATGAATTTCTTGATGGCTGGCGGCTGGTTAGGAACCTCAAGTAAAATGCTATTTTACTGACTGGTGAAAATGGCGTGGTCCTGGTCGGTCTTTACAGCTCGTAACGTGGTACGTACGTTGCCTTCGAGAGTATGCAGGAGCTTGCTTTCGTCTGCAGGAGCTTGCTTGATGCCTGAGATATCTCCGGCTGACACTGAGACACCGCTGTTGACTCCCGACCCTTCGGAGGTCCCGCCACTCAGAGTGTACAAGTGTACAACCAAGGTTGCTATCGCTAGGTCGCTATCGCTAGGCCGCTATCGCTAGACCGCTATCGCTAGACCGCTATCAGAGTGGCCGTCCTCGATGAGCTTCGGTAGAAATTGAGGCCACTGAGGTGTCGCCTGGAGGTTTTCAGCGATCACCACTGGGAGGTTGATTCTGGAAAGTTCTGGAAGGAATGACTTAACAATGTGACAACATGTTACAAGCGGTTACCAGTGAGTCATGGTGTCTCATTAGCATATATCAGCATCGTGTGGCTCGCTCCAGCTCATCGTTTGCTTTCGGGACCCCCGGCTCTCTTCCCTAAGTACTCGAGGAAATCGCACATCACGAACCTCCGATGCGCAACTCATCAGTTTCGGGCCGGTGGAGTTGGACTGCAACGCTGCGGGTTCGCTGTTTGCGTGAAGAAAACGAATAGAACGCTCCATCGGCGCTTGGCGCTCAGGCGCTGAGGCGCTTGCAATGCAAGTTTTCGATCATCCTTTGGAGCCTGTGGCTGTAACCACTGAACAACCTGGCTGGATGATGGTCATGCTGCAGGTCACATTTAAAAATTGTATGTATATAATATATATATATATATGTTTAAAAAATTATTTAACTCTAATGCAATCAATGGGGACACTTGACAACATACAGGCTGTGAGATCGATCTGAGCAGCTTATACATGCCAGGGTGACAAGGTTGAGGTAGTCTGGAAAGCTCTCTGCTACGAACATGTCAGCATGGTGCCTGAGAGCCGCTCTTGTGCTTCGATGCCGATCTTTGTCGCCGCTGACCAAGCTCTATCCACCTGTTCCCCAAATACGACCGTCTTCCTTTGACAAGAACAGGCTACACATACTCAACAAAAACTGGCGGCAAGGCGTTGTAGCTGTGTAGCTTCACATCTGAATCTAGGCTGCAGACTGCATCAAGGAGCCCGCAACTTCACACAGGGCTATTCGCATAGCCTTCCGTTTGGATCAACCTTTTCTTGGACTCATGCACGCATGATTCCCAGGATCATCAAAGGTGTCGCCTGTTCATCTTCCTCTTCATCGTCATCATCATGATGTTCGTCGCCATCCTGTCCCAAGTGAGAAATCTGCCATCGCACAAAGACTAGATTGGCCGATCATGAAGAATATACGCAGTCAGGGACACCCGAGGTAAGCACCAATCGGACATGAGACGCTTCGACAGAGGTGGAAGACTTCGCACTCATGGCCATACCACGCCTCGTCATGTTGGGACAGCCCATTCGGTCGGCCTTTTGCAGCCTCTTCCCGACGCTTGAAAGATTCTGCCATCACTGCCAGAGTGGTACGACCTGGGTCGCAACAATTATGCTGTTTCACCAAAAAATGCTGCTGAATCGTCCACCCGAACGCTGTCAATGCATGTCAACACACCAACCGGTTTTACTTCTCTGAAACCCTCTGCTCCTGTGAGTTTGGCCTCCGGGCAAATATGTCGCAGCTGTTCGGCATGCAGGATATTTGGACCAGCTTCCCTGGGAAAATTCATCTCAGAACTCTTCGACCCCCCCCTTCGGCTCAAGAAGCTCAGTCCCCCAAAAAACCGACAGGCGCAATGATTATGACCTTCCCAGTGGCAGCGATAAAACCATTCAATCAATTTGAATCATAAAAGACATCAACATAAGGAAAAGGAAAACACCACGACATTCTGCCCCAGATGGTTGTTGGGGTCCCTGATGGTTGTTGTGGTGGAGCGCCACGCCGTTGAATCCACGCCATACTCTGGGCTCCTCACTTGAGGCAGCTAGTGACCCCCTCAGCGCTGGTCTTCAGCTCGCTGATGTCCACCTGGTCACCCGGTGGTCACCCGGTGACCCTACCCTTCTGACAGGTGCTTGCATTTGCGATGTAACTTACATGTCACTGAAAATATGTAGAATCAATGTAAGTGATAAACTACAACAGAGTGTGTCAGTGTATCACACAAACCGCACACATTATATAAATGTTGTCCATTCGGCAAACTTCCGGAATAAGCTATCCCAGTGGGGCCTCTTGATTGCTTGGTCGGGGGGCAGACCTCTGCTGCCCAGGTTACAATGGATCAGCCTTTGCGTTTTAAGTGCAGTGCCGTTCAGCCAGCCTGTTATGTTACAAAGCTGTTAGTGCTGTGTTTGGGGACGTGTCACTAAAACTGAGACGGGAGGAGTGCACTTTGTTCAAGAAACCACTCACATCAACACATCTCCCAGACATGACCATGAGCTTCAAACAAGGCTAACATAAGCTAAAATGTGTCCATGCTTGTGTCTGTGCTTCTTCACCAGAAAGTGTCTTCTTAGATTCTTGACAAATGTCCAACCAGAGTGAACCAAAGCTGAGAACAACTCAGTGTCTGGAGTCTGGACTCATGAAAAATATGCAAATGCCTTCTTGTTGGCAATGGGGAGGGGCATTGAGGTCCAAAACCTAAAGCCTTGTAGTGGAAGAGCCCCCAACAGTCTTGAGACCACTGTCTTGAAGGTGGAGGAGCCAAAAGGAACTTTTGACTTTGCTGTTTGGAGCTACCACAACAACAAATGTCTAGCTGTGTTCCTTTTTGGTCTATCGCGATCGCGAGCGGTCTGGTCGATCACGACCCGGATCTGGAGGAGTCTCACTGCGGAGTCTCCCCGTGCGGAAGGTGCGATCTCCAGCCTCGAGCAACAGCTGCCGCACTTCCGGGTAGCCATTCGCAGCTGCAACCATCAAGGCGGTTGCCCCCCCTTGAGCTGCTGCCTTCGGGTCAGCTCCAGCCTCGAGCAACA